AACTAAAAGCAATCAACTCGCCTAATTAAGGATTGCCATGTGGTTAAGAGCTCGAGTGGACTAAGGAACAGTGACGTGACATCCTTTGAAACCTCTAACATAGCTGACAAGTTAGTATTGAAAAACGAGGTGGGACACATGGCAAACCCTAGTTGAGCCCTAACTAGGCGACCAATCGCATTGACTCCCAACCTCATGTCTTACAACAACTCGGATGGTAATCACCCCAGAAGGGAGATCAGCTTCCATCAGGGCAAACCTGTGCTCACACTATTCCAACAGCCTTCCCCAACCTTGCATTGGAAATATCTCCTCATGAAATAAAGCACATAAGTATGGAGGTTTCCTCAATGCAAGACAGTAAAGGCTGCTTGAACGGGATTTGACCTGACTGAAGTCGAACTCCCCGAAAGGTAATGTTTATCCCACAAATGAGGAGCATGGCTTTTTTGGACGTACGCCTATATAAAAGCACAACACCCAAGGTGAGATCTTGTTCGTGTTCTTGCTACTCAAACTCACCAGGCCGAGCTGTGTTGAACAAGCTTATCTAATCGTATAAGCTGATGATAAGTCGAAGCTTAGAAGTACTCATTCTAATAACTACTTATGAGTGTTTTGTGAAAAAAACACTTATTTTAAAAAGGTGTAGTATAAGTATTTAGAAAATGATGTGGCTAAAATTATTGATTAAGTGTTTATTTTCTTTCTAGCCAGCCAAAAAGAAAATTAGCATTAATTGAATAAATACTTAAAGATAAGCCTAAAATTTGAACTTTTCAAATAAGTATTTATTCTCAAGATAAGTTCTTATTTTAAGCTTATTTCCCAAACACAAATAAATTGGTACTGTCCCATGAAACCCACGTGAAAACTCCTAGACGTGGTCCTCACACAAGATTCATCCTTAGTATTCACTTGCGGGTCACTCAAAGGTCAGTATCACGGTCGGGTCCCATACATGTGCGGCACATCCTACCTAGATGTATATCTGTCTGTCGGGTCCGGAAAACAAATTGACCAGTTTCACGGATGCTATACGGACCTCTATTGTTCCAAAACTCCAATAGAACCCCTAGTGCAAGTTATGGACGGGCGTTCCACATCCAGGATATAATTAGGTGGGACCTACACCAGATGGGTCCAACGCAGCAGATGGTACACGTAGATCAGCCTAAATATTGAACGGGGATGGGCTACTTGTTGTGTAGCCGCATGAAGCCAAAAAAATAAATAAATAAATACTCTGAATGTGGCTTTAATAACGGTCAAAGGCCGCTATAACGGCCTCTATCAGTTAAATAGCCATTTGGCACTGCCAACCTCTGCAGACTGCAGGGCTCGTCCAGTTCTACGCCTATTTAGGCTCCGTTTGGTTGCAGGTAACATGAAATGGTAGTCATTTTTAAGTGTTTTGCATGTAAAATAACGATGATTTAAAAATTAAAAAAAAAATGATTGGTAGATGTATGGAAACGACATTTCTTTTGACTCTGGATCTATGCTCACAAGAATTTTGTCCACGTCTATCCAAAACACACTATCTATCTCCCCGCGCATAATACTATGTAAGTGTGCAACTTGGGTGGGTCCAACTCGAGCCTGAACCGGCCCAGCCCAAAATTTTACATGGGTTGGGCTTGGACTTTTGGTCCCAGGTTGGGTGCGGGCCCAATAAATCAGGTATTTTTATTATTAGGTTGGGCTAGGTCTAGCCCGAACCCGGCCCAACTATACACATGTATATATCTTAATTTTGCATGCATATTTGAATATATTTACATTTGTATACATATTTGCATATATATGTATAATTTTTGAGTGTTCATTGACCAACTCGAGCTTGGCCCAGGCCCAAACCCAACCCGAGTGCATCAAATTACAATGCGGGTTGGGAAAATCAGGCTTGACCTTGGGCTCGGTCCGGGCTTGGGACTTAAGCCCAAATTTTAGGGCCAGGCCCAAGTTGACCATAAACCCAGCCCAACCCGCTCGACTTGCACCCCTAATACTATGTAGGAATATGTGATGTTCCCCATGTGTGGCCAGGGGCAGAACCAGGGGGACCCAGGGGAGCCATGACCCCCCTATGGTCTCAAAAATCCCCACTTGTGATACACTGTTCCATATACATTTCCCCATCCCCTCACTCTTCACCCGAATGGGTCGGCCCCCCCTATGACAATCCATATTTATCCCCCCCCCCTCCCCAATTCACCTTAGGTTTTGGCCCCCCACATGAAAATTTCCTAACTCCGCCCCTATGTGTGGCTGCAATGTTATGTGGGTAAAGTTCTTGTGGGTAAAAGATCAGGAATCATTTCTTTTTTATAATTGATTTGATAGAAAACAAGAGAGAAACAGAAAGTTGAGGGATCAACTTTTTTATTAACCAAACACAGCCATAATTTTTGCAGCAGAGGGTACGTTGCCATTGTTTGTTTATAGAATATTCAGCCTTTTGAATTAAAGAATATGAAAATAAAGAAAATTAATCAATATTTTTATTAAATATCATTTTTTTAAATATATATAATTTGTTTTCCTTCTTTTGAACAAGCAACCAATTGCAGCCTCAATGAAGAGTTCAATTTGGCTACTTGCATTAAGTATACAAGCCTCCTAGAACACCCATGGAAGGAATGCCCACTCAAAATGAACAGCTTAATGAAGGTCTTGTTCACCCAACCAAGGATTAATTAAAATATAGTATTGGGTTTCTATCAAAAGAAAATATCGTATTTGATGTATCTCTATATGACATTAGTATCAGTACATTCAAATACACAAGGATGTATTTGATGTATCTCTATATGACATTAGTATCAGTGCATCCAAATACATAAGTATGCATTAATAAAAGGATTTTTCAAAATATTTAAAACCTCAAATAATAGGAGGAAAACTCTAATACCTATATCTAGAGTTTTATAGTGCATGTGAATTTCCCACCCTGTGGTTTTCCACTTGCTTTTTGGTCTAAGAAAAGCCTGTTTATAGCTCTTTTTTTTTCAAATGGTTTTCCACTTGCTTTTGGCTTCAAAAATGCAATAAGCTAGAAAATCCCACTGGGAACCCCCCCCCCCCCCAAATACAGCTCAAGTTTTTAACATGTATTGGTTTCATTTTCGAGCAAAATTGAAATGAACCAGTTTTGAGTTATTATATTCTAGATGAAATTTTGATTCTACTAATTTGGATTGAACTTAAGGCCTTTTTTTTATAAAAATAAGAAAAAATATCATTTGCTTAGTTTTTCTTACTCTTATTCTTGTGGTAACAGTGGTTTCTTTGTCTTTCCACTTGGGGTGTGTTCAAAATTCATCTCCTTTTTCAAAGAAAAAAAAATTGACCGACTATTCACATAGTTCGGTTCAACCACATGAATACATAAAGTATGGTAGTAGTATTTCTCTATAGATTTATCACCATATTTGTTATAGCAACTCACAGCATGCCTTCTATTTCCACTTGGAATTTGCTACTCACCTTGCTGTGTGTTAAACTCACAACACATTTACATACGTACAGCATGGTACCGGTGCTACTAGGGAAATTGTCTGTGTCTATGCATTTGGTACGAGGGCAAATTATACCTTGGTAACCCTAAAGGATTTTCACAGAAAATGTCAAATTTTTCAGTGTCTTGAGTTAATGTGAGGATCAGCCCCATCGGTATTATTGCAAGGACACAGATACACAAGAATCAGAATCTAGCACGTGTCTAGGAGTCGAACTTAGAAGAAAAAAACAAAAACTCACGGAAATGTCTACAGAAAAGTATAAATACTAATCAGTCTATATTTTTATTAGTTCTAATGTTATATACCCAAAAAAGCCTAGAACTTTGTTTCTGTTAATTGGTTTTTGTCAACAGTTACAATTTTGTTTTTCAAAGCAAAAGCAATTGATATATAGTTGATACATCAGCAAATTCATATTTGCTTTTGTTTTGAAAAAGCAAATTCGTACATATTGCCAAACACCCTCTTAATAATATTTCCTAGAGAAAAAATGGCATTCATCCTACTATATATTATTAGCTTTTCATTTATTTAAAATGAGAAAGCAAAAGGAAGGAAAAATGCAAAGGAAAAAGTCTGTCTTCATTACTATTTACTAGAGTGGTGGAATCCAAAGCTTAGGAGAGTCCATGCAGCACTACGGATCAGATGACAGAATATCTGGCAGGATTAGATCAGATCGTTGATCCTGAAAATCTCATCAGAGGACCCATTCTATTTGGAATAAGATTAGGACGTTGAATCCTCTATAGGATTGCCACGTGTGATTATCAAAGTACTTATCTAGGCTATATAGGTTTCTTCTATTATATTATTATAAACTAATTAATCTAAGTTTTACCTGTTAGTACTGTACTGCTTCCCGGCAGGATTGAAGATTTCAAACTTCACCAAAAGCCATTTTTGAATGTTCCCAAGCTTTTTTTTTTTAAACGGGGAAAAGCTCGAGAGATCATCCCCTTGCGAGATATCGTGAGATGGAATTAGTTTTTTCTCCAAGAATAAGAATGTTCTTCTGCAGTTTGAAATCTATTCTAGACAAATTCCTTTTCTTTACAGTAAGAAACCCTGCAAGTTGAATTAAACCACCCCCATTTCAGAAATGAGTCCATTAATGTAACAAGCAAAACGTAATTGGGCTTTTTGGGTTGATTTTTCTAGCACTGAATCTCACATGAAAAGTTCAGTGAATATATAAACTCGATCAGATTGGTTTTAACTTTGAAAGATAAATATAAATTCGACTTGAATTTGCAGAATTACTGGATGATCAGTTGATGATTATTATTTTAACACTAATAACTATGTATGGATGTGGTAAAAGTAGAGTGAGTAATTTGTTCAAGTATTGATGAACCAAGGTTGACCGGGCCTCCCTTGGCCTACAAGCTATTAAAATAAAAGAAATAAAATAATAGGGTGGCCAGTACGTAGTCAAGCTTCTTAAATCTTTAAAAACAGTCGCCGTTGCTTTGCATTTCTCTTCAGAGTCCAGACAGAAAAGGATTTAAGATTAAGAGGAGCTCTCTGCTTTACATCGGATACCAGTGAGTGAGAGAATATGGGGAGAGCTCCTTGCTGCGACAAAGCCAACGTGAAAAGAGGACCATGGTCCCCTGAAGAAGACACAGCTCTCAAGAACTACGTCGAGAAGCACGGTACTGGTGGAAACTGGATCGCTTTGCCCCATAAAGCAGGTCTCCCTCTCTCTCTCTCTCTCTCTCTCATTAATCTAATCCTTTCTCACCCTGAGCTACACGAAATGGCGTGTTCCTTTTCATCCTCTATATTTTGTCTGAATTTCACACCGACTTTTCCCCTTTTCAATCAAAACAACAAGACAATGGAGTGTTTTATTTTCCATTTTTTAGACACTTCCCATGTATGCGATTCTTAATTTCGCTATTTTTTTTTTCTAAAATCCAAACAGGAGTGAGTTCTTTCTGCTTTCATTTCAATCAGAAAACTTGATTTTTCAAATGGAAAAGAAAAGGAAAAGGATCAGTACCCATTTCATCATTAATACTTTTCGTTTTCCTGATTGAAAGGGGCAAAAGATTTGATTTATATTAATTGATAATAATCCATTTTCCCGATACTCAGTTCTAGATTGTTGATGGCTTCGGGTGGGTTGAGATCATTTATTACTGGCCTTTCCCATGTCCTCCCAGTGCTTTTATTTCCATATAATCGTCCCAGATAGATATCAAACAATTAATTTCCTGTCTCTACTTTTCATCAGTTTCTGAATAACTATGGCATTTATTTTTATTATTTTTGTTCACAGCCACAGAAATTTGTAATCCTTTTTTTTTTTTTGGATCTAGTATCGAAAAGCCTAATTTCTGCGTTTGATCAAACATGGCTACCCAGTTCATAAATGTTGTATTTTTATCTCAAATAGGGTGTTTTCTTTCACTTTTCTCTAGTTCCAGTTTTTCTTAGCAAAATTACTTGGTTATCTAATTCCAGGCCTCAAACGTTGTGGTAAGAGCTGTCGACTGAGATGGCTCAATTATCTGAGACCAGATATCAAACACGGAGGTTTTACTGAGGAGGAAGATAACATAATATGTAATCTCTACAAAACCATAGGGAGCAGGCAAGTTGAATTCAGTCCTTTTATTGCTTAATTTTCTCCTTCTTTTTCGTCCTTCAAATGTCGTTGCTAGCGAACATAAATTGATTAACTAATCTATTTTCATCTGGGTTTCGATCAGGTGGTCTGTGATAGCCTCCCATCTACCAGGAAGAACAGACAATGATGTGAAGAATTACTGGAACACCAAGTTGAAGAAGAAGATGATGGGAAAGAACACCCTCACAAGCACGAACAACAGCAGCAGCAGCAGTATTTCCATCAACGACAATATCCAATTCAATTCCACACCTTCTCATCCTGTTTGTCCAACTAAAGCGGAAATCGTCGATTATGACTTCTCAAGTTTTCTGATCAACACCAACTCCGCAACACAGCCATTGTCGACGGGAGGTGGGTATGGACAGAATGTCGGCTCTAACTCTAACAGACTAGTTTCAGACCCAACCCACTTCTCTCTCCCGGGACTGATGGAACCGTCTGAATTCGGCACAAGCACAAACAACAGTTACAGTGTTTCTTCGTCTCAGGAGTTTTCAGGCCTTTCAGTCTCATCTTCTCTTGGTATGGACAACAGTTATGGCTCATGGTCTGGTAATGGTGGCGATGGTGATGAGAATGGATTCCTTATGGATTTAGGTTTCGGGGTCCCGTATGATCTTCTCAATTTATTTGGCTTTCAAGAGGAAAACAGTGATGTACTGACTCCAAATTTAGCCAAATCTCCATACACTCATCTGTTGGCTAATGTTTGTGAGACAAAACCACAAGGACTGTATCAAAGTGTTACACACTACTAGTTAGACTGTGTCCTTGAAGTAAAAAAAAAAAAAAAAA